GTAATAGCTCAAAAGTACACGTACGTAGCCTATGTTAATTAAACAAATTCCTTACAAGATTATAAATACAAATTATGCGCTAGGTTTAGAACCCCTCTGGTCTGGGGGGATAGCGTGAGGGGGGGGGGGGGTAAGAGATTCTTGTTACCATAGACATATGACTAGTAAGAGCCTATATCGCGAGTACAGTATTCGAAACCACTTATCTGGAGTGAAGGATATTCTTAAAGACAGTTTATCAGATAACTGACAAAACCCCAGCCGTCTGCTACAGTAGACTTGTGATAACGCCCCGGGGGTCAGTCATAATAACCTCGGAAACCAATAGTTTTATATTCCTCTAAGTAAATACAGAAGAGTACTACTAGGTCTGAGCTTTTTTACACTAGTACGGCTACCAGGCCTAGTTTCCTGCCTCTAAAATAATGCTACCGGGGTTTACTATAAGTACAGTATACACAAATACTACGTAGGCAATCATCCCCATGCCATATATATAGCCGTCTACACTACACATTGTTAACATATTGCCATTGTGCAATGGTTGCTCAAAGATACTACTGTACTTGCTGCCGTACTAACTACCAGAAGAAGGTAACAAGCCGGGAAGAGACTGTAGCTGTCCAACACTCATCACGACCTGACTGTTACACTTCCTAGTGATAAGTGCGCGTTAGCAACAGCGTTAATTACACGCCGCCTGAGGCACGGGGAGCCAGACACCAACAGGCGGGGTAACCGCTCCCAGCCGTCACCTTCACCAGCTACTATCACCAGGCAATTGATATTAACCCTAAAATACAGTCTCCGTAAGGTGATGGCGGCAGCAATGGGGGGTCTGGGGTACGCAGGAGTGGGGGGGGGGGCGACGACACAGGGAGGAGGGGGGGGGGGGGCGGAGTAAACCTCACTGTGTGTGTGGGGGGCGGGAGGGGAAGGGGAGTGTGGGGGGAGGAAGGAGAGTGTGGGGGGGGAGGGGAGGAGATAGAGGCGACCACAGCATGGCGAGGGAAGGGGTGGTAGAGGTAGACTACACTGTGTCAAAGTAGACCCCAACCTGTGTAGGAGTCTACTTTGCTCCTAAACCTGCGTTTTTCTTTCCAAGAAGCAGCAATCATTAGTTTTTTTTTTCCTTTTTGCTGAATAGTTCATTTTTTTGCTGAACAGTTCATTAATTATCGAAAATCGAAAAAAAAACAATCAAGAATTCTGGGTTCGAATCCCAAGCGGAACAGAAATGGTTAGGCACATTTCACCTCACCTAATAACTCTGTTCACCTAGGAGTTAGTCAGCTTGTGGGGGTTGCATCCCGGGCGGGGGGGGGGGGAGCCTTCGATAAAAGCCAACGTGTATGAACACAGACGAGGAGTCACAATAACGGGGCTGAAGTATGTTGACCAGACCACACACTAGAAGGTGAAGGGACGACCAGGTTTCGGTCCGTCTTGGACCATTCTCAAGTCGATTGTGACTTGACTCACAATCGACCTGAGAATGGTCCAGGACGGACCGAAACATCGCCGTCCCTTCACTTTCTAGGGGTGTGGTCTGTATGAACACAGTCTGGCTTCCTGTCCCTCGACACAGTGAATTAAATTAATTCAACACGATCTCGTGCGGTATTTATTGATCTCCAAACTGCTTTTGATACAGTAGAGAACTAATCTTAGAACCAATTCTCTCGTTTGGAATGGAGTGAAAACTGTTGGCATGGCACTAGGGGGTGGGGGGGGAGGTACCTGCGTAACAGAACCGATTTTTATCGAGGGTTGCGGGGGGGGGGGGTGCGGCTAGTTTACCTCGCACCCCATACTCATCCTGTGAGCGGTAGCGAAAAAAAGACAACATAGGGCACAAAAGGTCTTTATCAGACCTAAACGGAGAATATTACATTAACAACTGCTAACACAAGGCGATATAGCACCATTAGTCTAGCCAGTAACTATATGGGTTACCAAGCTGGCAGCCTTGACCTTGGTTAAGGGAAGGTTCGATGCTTAACCAAATATACTAACCCGACATACTTCATGCTGCCATCAAGCATCAGTATCCATATATTTTACTTCTCGTTTTCAAGAGTCGTCTAATGATTATTTATATTTCTTTTTTGCACAGAGTATGCAAACACTGTTTACACTATATGCAATTGTTTATATTACTTTATAAAATGTCATGGACTACGAGAGTATTTTAGTTGTATCAATCACACCAGATATACAAATCAAATATGATTACCAGTGACGAGAGGCCGCATAAATACCCATACACTATTTCCGTAAAGACAAATAATTAACAGCGGGCCAGCCAGAGGCTAAGGGAGCAGGCAGACATATCCCTCCAAAAAACACCTCCTGCCGACCTTCAAGTCACCGTCGGCTCAACATGCTAGAGTGAACCAAGCTATAAACCCCCGCTGGTAAGATTACTGGGGTCGAGGTGGCATGCCACACTTGCATCATCATCTATAATACCCCCGGCCTCATCTCTCAACATGCATACATCATCAACTACGGATCACCACTGGAAAATATTGCTTTTAAGTGGAAGTTTTACTCACTCACGTCGAAACTTTTATGCAAGACATGGTCACATGGAAAATAACCCCACCCTATGATACACCTCACTCTGAGGTCCAGTCTCATAGTTCCTTTAATCAAAGAAGGATGTTGGCACCTGGTAGCACATGTGATACTCCACATGGCACATGTAGCCTACTTGCCCTACTTGTTGGCCTGGTGGCACACTCCACACCCTAATTATAGAGCACCTAGATAGATATGCCAGGTGTTCTGCCTCAAACCTACCTCACACTGCTAAAACAAGTTGATTAAGTGTTTGGGTTATGAATGGATGATGATGAATGGACAGCCAGTCATGACATGGGACGGAAATAGAGAACCTGATGAACACAAAAACGTATATTAATCACTAGTTGAAGTGTCCAGTTATGCAATATAAACTTTAACATGAAAGTAAACTCTACCTGTGGTAGGTTTCGAAAGTTTTTCATACTCTTGTAACTTCAATCAGGATCTCTTGGTACCCTGATCTGTCAGACTGTTGCCATCACATCCCAGGTGACCAGGAGCTTATGCAGTAACTTGACAAAGTAGTTACATTTATTGTATGACTTTTAAACACACACGGAACACCACGAGTGTATCTTTCATCCTGTAACTACACTTAGGAAATTACACACATGAGCATGCACGCACACCCACACACCAAGTGAGTTTACATGTGTATGTACATACATGCATGCATATGTACACACAACCACACACACACGTCCATCCATACACGCATGTACACACCCACACACACAAGTGCATGCAAGTACACACATGCATAAATGCACATGCATATATATGCGTACATGTGCATACACACACGTGTACACATACACACGTCCGTACACACATGCGAAAGAGCAGAGCTCAACCCCCGCAAGCACAACTAGGTGTACACACACACACACACACACACACACACACACACACACACACACACACACACACACACACACACACACACACACACACACACACACTCGTGCGTGTACGCACAATCCTTTCTCCTAAACAATGCCCACCATACCACCCTAATCCCCCTTACTCCCTCACCCCCTGCCTTACCATCCCCTGGTCTTTTTCTTGCTCAAGCAGGCCTAGGCAAGATCTAAACCCTCCATCCCCCACCCAACTTCCACTCAATCCCCAGGTTACACCACAGGAGAACGAGCCCTGGCCCACAGCATTCCCTTCTCCCTGGTCATCTTCTTGTTCCCAAGCAGGACAAGACAAAATTTAAGCCCTCTATCCCCCACCCTACCTCCCTCCAAACCCTTGGTAACTAACCCACAGGAGGATGCGCCTACCCAAGTAACCCTGCCCTTGGAACGGCTTCCAACACTAGTGGGGAGTATGGGTCAAACTGGATATAGGAAAGTGAGCTTTAAGGTAATGTACTCAAACATAGATGTGATAACTAATAAAGCAAGTGAACTGACGGAAAGGGCGCAGGAAGAAAACCTAGATGTAACAGGACTCTGAAACAAAATTGTCAAGCATCATAACAAACGCAGTGTTTCCACAGGACTATCTCTTTCCTTACTATATAGTAAGGAAAGAGAGAGAAGGGAGTGGCCCTGCTGATGAAGAACTGGAGCTTTGAATAAATGGAAATTCTGGGCTGTGAAGGATTCAGAGACTTCATAACAAGAACTATGACTATGGGTAGACCCAAGAAAATAGTAGCAGTCATTTACAACCCTCCACTAAATGACAAAAGACCAAGACAGGAGTTCGATAGGAACAGCATGGCAACCATTAATATAATAGAGAGCAGCTTCATTTGCCTGCAGGAATGGATCCAGACTCTTAATTATGGACGACTTCAACCATGGAAAGATTGACTGGGAGAATGGGAAACCACATGGACGTGTAGATACATGGAGAGTTTGACTCTTGGAAGTGGCAACAAGAAACTTTGAGCCAACAGGTCAAGGGACCTACAAGAATGAGAGGCAATGACGAACCAGCTAGACTACCTGACGAGTCAACGATTAGACCTTGAATGAGTCAGAAAATAAAGTAAGTCAAATTTGAAGCCCCCATGGGAATGAGTGACCACAGTGTATTGACATTTGAGTATCTAGTGGAGGTAGCGATAACCTATCCAAGGAAGGGATCGGAAAGGAAAAGGCTAAATTACTGAAGAGGGAAATATGACAAGATGAGGAACTTCCTAATGGGAATCCCATGGAAAACAGAACTCAGAGAAAAGACTACAGGATACGATGGGCTATGTCACCTTTAAGTGCTAGGAAGCTGCAGACAGGTTTATCCTGGCCCAAAAGGAGAAAAATGAAAAGCAACATAATTTTTGCGAATAAAGTGCACAAACACGTTTCAAAGATGACTGAAGCATGATCTAAAACTGATTTACGCATAATTCAGGCCCTAGACTGACTAAAGTCACACATCAGTACAATACTTACCACACTGAAGGGCATACACGCACAAGCTCGACCATGGAATGGGCGGCACAAAGGTTGAGGGTGGATAGTTGGATAAGACTTAAATTCTGCTAACCGTTCTCCAAGTTTCTGAAGAAAAGATAGAACAGAACAATAACTATTGTAATTATACTGTCATCAACTACTGTACTAATAATACATACTAGTACTGTACAGTACTGCAGAAAATTGATGTTCAGTATATACTATACAGTACTCATGTACATACAGTACACAGTGGTACCTTAGCTTATGAAATTTAATCCATCCCAAGAGACGATTTGTAAGCCGAAAATTCGTAAACCAAAGGAAATTTTCCCATAAGAAATAATGTAAATTGAATTAATCTGTTCCACACCTCCCCAAAAAATTAACATCAAGGTAAATTTTATACTTAATTCTCCCAAATCTTTAGTGCTAAAGTATGTACAAGTTATTGCTTACCTTTTTTGATGACTTGTTGGCGTATGGAAGACGGTGAGCAAAGGGGGATGAGGAGAGGTGTTACTGTTTGGAAGGGCAAGTCCCCTTCCATTATAACACCAGGCGGTGATGACTTCTCTGGGGTACATACACTGGCACGTTTTACATGCATACCACTAGGACCTGCTTGTGGCTCACTGCTTGTTTTTTCTCACTAAAACCCTCTCTAGTGGCACTTGTTTTTTCCCTACGTTGTAACACTTGTCTGAAGTGAGACATCACATTGTCACTAAAATGGTTAACACAATGGCCTACTACAGCTTGCTCTGGGTAAAAACTAATAACTTTTCAACATCAAGTGTTTGTGTTCTTTGTTTCATGAGTGTTGATACACCTTTTGCCACTTAAGCACTCATAATGTCCTTTTTCATAGCAATTACAGTGCATATCGTTGATATATATTTGATGTATTGCCTAGCTAGTTCATCAACCCATGTACCATCTTCATGTTTACGAATGATCTCTTGTTTTTGCTCTATGGTCATTCTCACATGTGTTTTCTTGGCTTGAACTCTACCACTGGCTTTCTTGGGACCCATGGCAATATATATAATAATAACTTTTATGTTCAAATACCCAAATATCTGAAAAACACCGAAATTCTTTACAAAGAATTCAGGCGTGATTGTCACTAGGCGGGAGGCACTGGTAAACTGAGGCACGGTTGCCATACCACCACGCGCTAGGTCGGCCATACACGTATCAACAAACTTTGTTTCCCCGAGGCAAAGTTCGTAACCCGATTCGAATTTTATTGGGCTCGTAACCCGAAAAGTTCGTAAAGAGGAACATTCGTAAGCTGTCACTACTGTAATAAAGGTTTTAATATACTGCACTGTATATAGTACTGTGAAAATTATGCTATTTATACATGCTTTAAAAACTAGAGAATCCTTCTAAACATATGGACCAAATCCACCAACTGGAGTTCCTTTCAAATTTCTAAAAAAAAAAAAAAATCAGGATTAAGGACAAAATCCAGATCGTTGGTTCAACAAGCAATGTATAATATAATACTCAAAAAGTGCTTACAATTTGGTATAGAAGAGCACTTGCAGACTGGTCACGCGCCCTCTTGGTATACGTGTACTTTGTTGGCCTTGGCGCTGAAACACACCTTAAAGCAGGTGCCGAGTGGCTTTTGTGCCACTCCCAATTATTATATGACTTGCTATGGTTCCTTGAGCCCCCTCTCCTGTTTGTTCCACGGCCAATCCCATAATTATCCTTTGAGAGACTAATATCTGCAAAGGTATAGAAATAGTGGTTAAAGTGGAAAACTTTTATCATCACAGTACTGTACTGATCAAGTTAAAGTCAACATTATTAACTCATTTGCAGTATGTGATTTACTCAAGGCAAGCCTATCTTATCTACTGCACAGTAGCACACAGTCCAGCACTCGGAAGAAAATAACATGTCTAACAGTGATAAATTACAGGTACTGTACTCGGTTACGGTAAAAATGAGAACCTTAACCCCTGGGCTGCTCTTGTGATTATAGCCTGCAACACACCCAGGCACAAGAAATAAAAAAATTAAAAAATTTTTGTCCTTATAAAAGTGTTCATTTGTGTTCCCTGATCACGGGAAAAATAATAAAAAAATCGTAGGCGACATATTTTGGCCGCAATAAAGCAGGGAAGTCTGGCAAAACTGAGGCGTTGACAGACTAGGCATCCTGTGGCGGTCTGATCCACCCGCGCTGACAGGCGGCAGTTGCCACAAAGATGATATTACCTAATTATTTCAATGTGTCTAAATGATTTTTCTTTTTTTTTTTTGCAGTAATATTATTCAATAGTGTGTAGTGTGATATATTTATATAATAAAATGTGTGAACCAACTGTACAGCTAAGCTGGTATGGTGAGTCAAGACAATAATTGAGGTCAACACAGTCAGCTGACACGCCTTCCCTCACTCACCAACATTCCTCCTCCCACTATACTGCTCGTTCTGTTTTTACACTACAGTACACACATTATATATAAGTATCTACATGTTTTATTGACCATAACTGTACAACTAAGCTGGTATAGTGTCCAAACAACATAGTGGCCACAAAAAGCAGCATAACAAGTCACACAGCAGCCAGCAGCCTCACTCCCTCCCTCACCAACACCACTCTCACCAAAATGGCTCCTCCCAACATACTCTTTTTGCTGTTATTACACTCTATTCACATGTTATATATAAGTACTGCATCTACATTTGTGTTCACAATAGCGAACTTTGGTATGGTGAGCCCAGACAACAAAAGGTTGCCACACAGTCAGCAGATGACGCCACCTCCCTCCCTCCTCACCAAGATGATGACTCCCACCATATTATGCATACTACTGCTAATTCTCACTACCATGCTACTATTATCAAAATCCTGGTCACTAAATCTTGTAAATTAATAATTTTCCACAAGTTTATTTTGTAAAGGAAAATGAGAAGTCATTTCAAGATTCTTAGATGAATGAAACAATGGCAGTGTACTGTGGCTAGCACTGTGGACATCTTGAACAGCATTGTGTTCACTGATATCTGAACATTGTACACAGTCTTTATCACAGTCAGGCTCTTCTGTAATACTATCATGGCTAAATAATACCAGTTACATATATTTTTTTTTACATATTTAGCAATGCTGCGGTCACAAGCTGAACAGTAGTGCTGTTATCTCATACTGCATGCACCAGCCTTGGTTGCTCATTCAGTACCGAGGCTCTCACACCTCGGAATGTTGGCCAAGATTTTTGTTTTAAATGGCATCTGTTTACAAAAAGAGCTCTGTGGAAGCTGATGTGAACCCAGTGTAGCTGCAGGATTTTTAAATCTTGCATTGCATCATGTGACTGCTGGCGTCATCTGCTTGTGGCTCCATGTGTTTAAGAGTTCATCACCATACCCACCAGAACTGCTTATTAGTTTATTATGGTGAATATAATAATATAATATAATATAATATAATATATAATACAGTATATATATTAGTAATAATAACAGGAACACTGGTTGAGCTAAGAATATAATAGGTGTCACCATATATTTTTTAAAATAGCAATGTTCCACATATTTAACTATATAAATTGCACATATTACACATTATTGAACAATATTACTGCAAAAAACTAGATATAAAACCATTCACAGACACTGAAATAATTATGTAAAAATGTATTTGGGGCATTTTCTGCCACACTCAGCTGTTGGGTGTTAGGCAGACCTTAGATTGTTGCTCCGAGTATATAACTCAACACATGATCTCTGTGGTTCATTATGGTACACAAAAAATGTAAATAGTTACATACAATGTGTATACACAGGTATAATGTAATAACTGCAAAAAACACTGATTGATCTTAGAATATAATACAATATACATGTCACATATATGAACTCAATAATTTTTAGCATAGTGATGTTTACGAATGAGAGGCATTGAAATAATTGTGAACAATTAAATTGGCAGCAACTGGTGGGGGGAGAGGGCGAGCATCCCCAGCCGCCTCATCACTCGGCACCCATAATTTGTTAAACTTCTCGGCTCCATCACAGCTAAAGTATGTCACATACAATATTTTATTTTAGTTTCACCATGATCAGAGATCACATTTTAACAATATAAGAAAAAAAAATTTGGAACTAATTTATTTTCGGTCCAACACAGGGTTCATATTTTAATGCAGCGTGCAGTGCAGTGGTTAAACAAAATATAGGATACAAAACACAATCAAATCTGCCCATAGTAGGAAAGCAGCATGTAAAGGATCTGGGAATAATGATGTCCAATGACCTAACGTTTAGGGAACATAACCAAGCAAATACAAAATTGCATCATTCAGAAAAATGATAGGATGGATTAAGAGAACTTTCAAATCCAGGGATCCCATCACAATGGTTGTACAGTACTATTCAAATCACTTGTGCTCTCCCGTTTTGAGTTCTGTTCGATACTCACCCCCCCCCCCACCATCAGAGCAGGAGAGATTGCCGAAATAGAGGGAATGCAGAAAACATACAGCTTACATACAACACGATAAAGCACCTAAATTATTGGGATCGTCTCAAAGCTCTCCAAATGTACTCCCTAGAAAGAAGACGAGAGAGATATCAAATAATATACAGTACTGTACACATGAAAATACTGGAGGGCCAAGTCCCAAATCTACCAAAACATCCCAATTTAGAGGATGTTGATCCAGAATTTCTTCAAAAAGGTCAGATGTAACACGAACGAGGAGCAACGGGTTCAAGCTCAACAAGCCACAATGTAGGACAGAAAACAGGAGATGCTTTTTCACCCATAGGGTTGTAAACCCATAGAACGGCCTTCCTGCCAAGCCGCCAGCTTCCTCTTCCCATCGAGCCCACTAGTATTAGTTGCCCTCAGGTAAATTCAGTTGAATAGCATATAAAACAGGAGATGCTTTTTTTCACCCATAGGGTTATAATGGTCTTGGTAGTACAGTTGGGTTTATTATCAACTCGCAATTGGGAATCCTAGGTTCAAATCCTGAGCAAGACAGAAATAATTGGCACATTTCCTATCACTTAATGCATCTGTTCACCTAGCAGTAAATAGGTATCCAAGAGCTAATCAACTGTTGTATCCTGGGAAGAGTCAATAGTTCAACCTTGGAAGGGTGGAGGTACCTTGATATAAGCCTAACACACGCATACATACTGTACATACATACATACATAGGTTTCCATTGCAACTGGCAGTCCAAAAGACAGCATTTTGTTTTGAGTGAGTGCAGTGTTTTTTTTACTTTTTTAGTTACTGTTTAAATGATGGCATACAATTTTTTTATTCTTCTGTATAGTCTCTACCTACACAACAAACCAAACACGCTTACTGTGATCACCGTAAACATTCCCTGCATGAGGTTGAGCATTTGAGAAACCACAGTGTCTTGGTGGAGGTACGACCCAGGGATCACCGACTTTCTGCAATTTTGGTAAAACATCCACCATCACTGCACATTATCTGTAACAGAACATCAACATTAGAGGAATATTAGTTTCTATTAATTTACATTAAACTCCATAAGATGTAACTAATATGCTTGTGTTTCAAACTAAATAACTAACGCTGGAACCGGTGTCTCAAGTGAATCCCATATTGGCCTCTGAATACACAAGTTAACGAGTTAAACAAAGCACATGCTCTTATGGTGATAGTTTATACTTTTTATTCCGATTTGAAAATCTGAAGTTTTCAATATTCAATTTTAATTTTAATTCTCTTGTTTTTCAAGTTACATTGTGATCATTTAGACAAAGTTGGAGCATTTGGCTAGTTGATTATGCACAAAAAATTGGAAAATGTTTGTGCAAGTTCTAGAAACTTGAGTTATGTCAAATCGTACATGTATGTTTTGCGCGGTTTAAGGGTTAACACGCATAGTGTTTCAGGCAAGGGTAGAGAGTAAATGGAATGACCTAAGGGATCATATTGTACATGTTTCAGGCAACTTCTTAATCTGACATAATTGTAAGTAGGTAATTTGTAGCAGAATTTCAAGAATAATACTAGGTACACTGTAGAAAAATTTGAAGATTATTAATAGGTGCATTGTAGCAAAATTTGTATTCAGCTATGATGTAACTTGATGGTTGTGATTACAATGGTGAAATTGCATGTCTTAGGCACAAATATTGAGGGAGTGGGTAGCACAATATACAATGTGGGTTTGAAGCATAATCATCATAATTTTATTTACAAGAAGGTACAATGGGTTGGCAAGATTACACAAGATTGGCATTTTTACATTCTTGCAAAGCCACTAACACACACAGCATTTCAGGCAGGTCGAAAACACACCTGAAGCATAAACTATTACATTATGAAATTCATTAAACCCTCTTTTTCTAATTGTTATAATCATATTATACTGTATGCATCATTCGATCAGGCTGTTAGGTCAGGTTAGGCTGTCAGGTTGGGTAGTTTTTAAAATCCATTGGCAAACTAAGTAAATTGTACCCAACTGCATTGCCAAATAAAAAGGTTCATCTGTTTGCTTGAAATGCTGAATAGTGGCATTACAACAATTATAACTTTATATGTATATAATTCCAAATGAGGTAGTGTTTTCGTTTTTTTTTTGTGGTGGGGGTTAATTAATTTACTGTATTTCACAAAGCCCGTTATGAAAAAGTCACCGGTATACATAACGTACACTGAACGAATTACCGATGGCCGAAATAACCAAAGCATGGGTCCATAGAATTACCCAAATCGACCCAAATCAGGCCAAAACTACCCAAATCGTATTAGCATTACGTAAGTAATGAAGAAATATGGTATATTTACTTACTATAATGTTGGTGCTACACGTAGAACATGATCAAACCTATTTTTACTCTGAAATAATCTAATTTCATAACGAAATGAGACGTAAATATGTGAGAGGTGACGCCATAGGAAGTCGACGGTCCAAGCGACAATTGTGTGGAGCGACTTATCCAAGATATATGGTCGCCTGGAGAGTGTTTGCTGCCATAACAGCCTCCTGTACACAGTGATCCAGTCGTCGTATTTCATGGCTCAAATTGTCGCAAATTTAATTGGTAATATTAACAAGTAGAATGTGTATTTATAATAATATTTTCATAAACAGCCACAAAATATTTAATATTTATTAAAAAAAAGTGTCTGGAAGTTAAATCAATTCCACATGACAATAAATTTGTTATATAGATACTAGCGTTATTCGTTGGTATGCGTTCGCTATTTAAACTACTCCAGTCCTTTTCGTTCATAGAACACCGAACCCTACACGCCCTCTGATATATTGCTTAATTAACAAATATTCACAAATAAAGATTATATTTATATATGTTATCAGAAAGGCAGATATAAAATAGTTTGTGTTAATGCATCACAGAGATTATACCTTATTAGAGAGGAAAAATATTCATATTTTAAACAAGGCTTCTTGGCCGACGCTCTCCTTACCGATATGGGAACTATGACCTTCCGAAGATCAATGTTAATTGAATCTATATATTGTAAAAAACGAAGTTTTTTATGTCATCAGAAAGACATATAAGCTGCATGTTAATACTTTGGTATAAATATAACTGAAGTGAAAGTGAAGATATATGCCTTTTTATAGTTACTTGATGGCTCGCTCAGGGAGTGTGAAGGCCTGCACACAAGCCAATCAATTTTATAATTAATGTACATATATGCAAAGTAACGTCAAAGGTTTTTATTTCAGAATAAAGACAGATGTAGACGATAATGTAAATACATTTCAAGGAAAACATATCTTAAATGAAAGCAAAGACATGGTCAAATAAATAGGCAATACCACACCATCGCCAGTGTCCGAACACATGAATATTCGCATTAGGTAGGTGAAAGGAAATGTACCCAACCATTTCCATTTACGCGACCAGTTTCCGTTCTTATGTTCTTACTTACATTTATTGAAATTTATCATCATCATCATTTACAGAAATAAATTAACATAAAAATGTAGTAATTTTAATACACAAAACAGAAGTAGATATGTATGTAAATTATGACGCAGGATAGGATCACTATTGCAGAACTATTCGCATACTTTGCGTCATTATATACAGTACTGGAATTTAAAAAAAATCGCGGAATTCAGAGATAACACCATCATTGGTGTCCAAGAAAAGTGTAAGTACTTCATTTATAATGATGTGCTGCCCGAAATCTTAGCGAAGTATCTAAAATTTGCTTACTGTAAGTAATTCATGCAAATGATTGTAAAGCCGTCGCCCAGTTGGGTGGGTGTGGAGCACATGACTGTTAAGCTGCCGCCCAGTTGGTTGGGTGTGGAGCACATGACTGTAAAGCTGCCGCCCATTTGGGTGGGTGTGGAGCACATGACTGTTAAGCTGCCGCCCAGTTGGGTGGGTGTGGAGCACATGACTGTTAAGCTGCCGCCCAGTTGGGTGGGTGTGGAGCACATGACTATAAAGCTGCCGCCCAGTTGGGTGGGTGTGGAGCACATGACTGTTAAGCTGCCGCCCAGTTGGGTGGGTGTGGAGCACATGACTGTTAAACTACCGCCCAGTTGGGTGGGTGTGGAGCACATAACTGTTAAGCTGCCGCCCAGTTGGGTGGGTGTGGAGCACATGACTGTAAAGCTGCCGCCCAGTTGGGTGGGTGTGGAGCACATGACTGTTAAGCTGCCGCCCAGTTGGGTGGGTGTGGAGCACATGACTATAAAGCTGCCGCCCAGTTGGGTGGGTGTGGAGCACATGACTGTTAAGCTGCCGCCCAGTTGGGTGGGTGTGGAGCACATGACTGTTAAGCTACCGCCCAGTTGGGTGGGTGTGGAGCACATGATTGTTAAGCTGCCGCCCAGTTGGGTGGGTGTGGAGCACATGACTGTTAAGCTACCGCCCAGTTGGGTGGGTGTGGAGCACATGACTGTTAAGCTGCCGCCCAGTTGGGTGGGTGTGGAGCACATGACTGTTAAGCTGCCGCCCAGTTGGGTGGGTGTGGAGCACATGACTGTTAAGCTGCCGCCCAGTTGGGTGGGTGTGGAGCACATGACTGTTAAGCTGCCGCCCAGTTGGGTGGGTGTGGAGCACATGACTGTAAAGCTGCCACCCAGTTGGGTGGGTGTGGAGCACATGACTGTAAAGCTGCCGCCCAGTTGGGTGGGTGTGGAGCACATGACTGTAAAGCTGCCGCCCAGTTGGGTGGGTGTGGAGCACATGACTGTAAAGCTGCCGCCCAGTTGGGTGGGTGTAGAGCAAGACTAGTAATTGGACGACTCACCATAGATGTAAAGTGCCTAGTATAGTGACTTGTGAGCCTCTTGTTGAATCACTTGTGATACAAAGATTATTGATGTGTGTATTTGTGTGGGTGATTGAATATGTATGTGAATGTATATGTATGTATATGTATATATGCAATTGACGATCACGAAACAATAATCATTTGTATGCGGAAAAATCCATATTTCATTTCTCTGGATTTACCTCATATGTATATATATGTACATGTATGTATGATTATGTGTACATGTATATATAACATTAATAAGAGGAAATGAAGATGAAGAAATGATAAAAAGAATGGCAATAGTGGATAGTAGTAACACACTTAAGAATTATTCAGTAATAAATACAAACTCGTCCTTCACCTATGATAAAGGAAAGTCAACTTGGAAGGATTCAATTTACATGAGATTAAGATTAGGATACAAATATATCTGGCAATACGGAGTTGATGTCAGTGAAAAAGATAAGGAGTGTAAATTATGTAGTATGCCGCACGCCCACACCTTAGAACATTATGTATTAGAGTGTCAACTTATTGATAACTATAGAAATAAGGAAATAAGTAATGTACCACATCAAATTGTTTGTATGTGTGATAATGGTATGATAGACAGTATACTTAGGAGCTACAAAAATTTTGCCCCAAGAGTGTAACAATTGTATGCTGTACTTACTATATTAACCTGCAATGTTAAATGGGATTCTTGTAATGCTAATTGTCTATTTGTACTTACTGAATTTGTACGCCCCTTGAGGGACTTGAAGTAGAGGGGGTAGAAATAGCCTAAGTTACTCTATCCCTTTGAGATGTATTTTTTTCTTGTCTCAATAAACATACTTGAACTTGAACTGTAAATATTTGTGGCTTCCTGACCATAAAGTTACCGCCGCAGTCGAGGGTAAGAGACCGGATGTACCCAGTATACAAGCCGCACTAGCTATTAGTTCATAAAAGCTGACAACTTACCCAGATAAACATTACTTCCTAATTATATATATATATGCAAATAATAAAATTAAAATGTTTAAAACGTGATTATATATATGTATCATGTGGACAGTTTTTAATGTAATTTTTTCTCCTGATATTCGGGTTCTTTATTATGCTTCATCTTGAGGCAAAGCCCAATACCTTACGCCATATTGATGCTCTGTCTACAGATCATTCTCTCTCTCTCTCAAATCATATACATTGATGGTTTCCTACACCGCCACACGGGTGCAGCTGCAA